TGACACCGAATCCCAATACATTGACTTCATATGGGCTTATGCTCGTGTATATTATATACATATACATTATATATTTATATAAGGGAGTATCTCATTAGCTGTTTGGGTTACTCGGTTAGTTAGCGGATGATTTGCCCGATTGTCAACTGATTGCAGTCGCACCAAAGAGTTGGCCAAAAAAGGTTCCGAATCCGGATGAGTTGACCGAAAGAAATAAAGATATAAGGCCACCTGCTGTCAGGGTATTCCATTTGAGGGGTAAGGGGTTGTAGTCGTAACAAACGATACCCGGCGATAAGAAAGGTAATAACTTTTAAAATCGCTTTAGGCCATCTTAAAAGCGGCACAATCAGGTGGTAGAATAAGGGTGGCGTTGTCGTTTCGCTTTTGGGTAAATCATTTGACATTATATTTTCGTTTTTTTTTGGGCACAGATTAGATAACTGTTTTGTAATATTCACAATCTGGCGTAAATGATAAATGAAATATTTTACCATAAATAATGAAGTCATATTCAGACAGTTAGTTAAAACATTATCTGTACAATGTGTTTTTTATCTTATATCAGTGAAAATTTAAATATAAATCGACTCCAGCCACGGTTCATTGATCTTATATCCATATTAGTTTATTTGTGTATTTTCTAATTTAAAAACAAAAACGATAAAACAAAAAGCCCAACAATGTTCACTTCTTAATCCTTTTATATGCAAGCCAATTCGAATTTGCCAAAAAATCGATGCATGTTTGTATAATTCTTTGGCAGTCAGACTAATTAAATTTTCATAGCATACTTTATCGGGCATTCGTTTGGCCATTTCGGCTCTTGATTAAAATTAATGACAAGTTTAGCTTCCACTGAATTTTCGCTGACGAAAACGAATGAAATTGCGATAGCAGGTTTTTTTTGTTTTATTTCTTAATTTTATACCTTTAACTTTAATGGCAAATCCTGTTTAATTTATAGACCCAAATATTTATTTCGTCCAAATGCTGTATAATGAGGAATTTCTATTTAACTGTTCCAAAAATATACATTATCGTGTCATATAAAAAGCTTTGTAAAATTATTAATTAATTTTAATCATAAGCTATATATCCCATAAATCAAATCGTAGGGCATTTCGACTTTGGAGAGTTTTTTCATTTTTATTCGTCTCGTACGGCTTTCAAAATCTCAGCTATGGAGAAATCTGCTTTTGCCATTGTTCAACATTGAAAATTCTCCAATTCCTTTTTTTTTGTTTTATTTTGATGAATACAAATCTCGCGTTTACCTTCCAGTCTCTTAATTTTCCAGTCAAGTCCAGTTAGCTTAGTGCCAAGCAGTCTCGAAGCAACAATAAGAACTAAAACAACAACAACAACCAGAACAACAAAAATAACACCCACGTAAACGCGAGCACTTTGCGTACAACAAAAGTCTCCAAACAATAACAACAACTAAATCAACGCTAAAAACGGAGCATATAAAAAACAACAACAGCAAAGACGAAAGTCAAGCGGCGAGAGCAGAAGAAAGAAATGGAGAAACGCAGAGGAACGATAGACGAATGTGAAGAAGAAAACGCGCAAGAACTGCAGCTGAGCACATAAAACAAAAACAACAATGCAGCCAAAGAAAAAATAAAAAAAAAACGTATATAGAAAACAACAACAAAGTTAAGCGCAAACAAAGGCGCCACTTGCGAAGCGAAGGAGAAGCTATAAAACAGAGGAGGGAGGATAAAAATGAGGGGGCTATAAAAGAGTATGAGAAAAAGGAGAGAAAGAGGGCAAAAGCCTCAAAGCGCACAGCTAAACGCTCGTAAAGCTTTCAATTAAAATTAATAAAAATTTACGCGAATTAAATAAACACCAACTGTGACCAGAAGCAGTTTTCTCAGCCACGAAAGGTAAGAGCTGATCGATTAAATTTCTATCTATATAAAAACTGCAATTTGGGAAGATAGTTTTAAAATATTGTTGTTTCTAATAATAATAAACTTTATAAATTAAAAGATATATAAATGCCATAGTATAGCATATACCATAGTGACCCTCTTGGGATATGTAATTGAATTTTTCATATTTTTCCTGACACAACGAGGCATTATCTTTTTCGCAACGTGCTGAATTGATTTTGCAATTAGTTTTTTTGACGCATTAAATTGAACGTCTCTTGTGACAGCAATTAAAGCTTTAATTGCCCGATTTCAAATGGTGAATAATCTTGAATTATTTTTCTGTTGTTTTGTATAACGAAATTCAATCAAATCTACGTTTTCATAAATGGGGTTACACAAGTCAAATGCAACTTTGAATGCTCAAAGGACCGAGATAAAAAAATATACAAAAATATATTTGTGGGAAAAAAGAAGAGGGAGCAAAGCAATATGTAACACGCATCCGGTTACGTGATACGTTTAACGTGACATTCGCATCCTCTGTGGATGTCTGTCGGTGACACATTAACCTGGAATGGAGGAGGATAAAGTGGAGCAGCAGGAGCATCAGCGGCACCCACTGTCCGTCCACTGGATTATATAGATTGAATTATTTGGTACAACATGGCCCTGGCCATTAAGCAGGAAGCTAGAAGAGCGGAACCGAGAATATGTGCGTGTGTCTGGCGTATAGAAAATGGCCAAGACTTTACGGGTTTATACGGGCGGCTCCTAGGGAAGGAGAGAGAGAGAGAACTCTGGGCAATGGCGCCCCGCTGATCCAAAGCCATCGTAAGCCGGGCAATTGGTACACATGTCTACAAAAAAAAAACACACACACAAAATGGAAACCAAAAGCAAAGAGATTTCACTCGAGTTTCTTTTGCCATCGGTTTTGTCAGTTCCTTATGGATTTATGAGGCCCACCCGTCGAAGGTAAATAAGTGTGGAGAAGCCCTATTGCACTAATCAGACACTTATGTCGGATTTGGGATATCCGACGACCATCGGAAGGACGCACAAGGAGCGCCCACATGTCGGCTACGTAATTTGAGCAGCGATATAACAGAAGGGCGACATAAAAATAACAAATTATTTTGCTTATTCCGATATTTACGGTTCGCATTCAAATTTTGTTTTATGGACATTCAATAGCCAATACGAAGGAACAGATAAAGTTTCATCTGCATACATACAAGCACTTACACTGGAGAAGTAAAGATTTAAAGCAAAAATATTTTGAAAAATAAAAATATACACAGCAATGATACATTTGTATATAAAAATCGTTTGAACTGTAATTATTTTTCTTACTTTTAAATGGCTTTTAATTTTCAATCTTGCAATATTTTTTTACAGTGAAATATAAGGAGCATCAGCTAGGATGGCCATTAAGAATGTTTGTCCCATTTATGATTCATGAATGCTCTTTGTTGCTGCCAACGGACCAATGAACTGTCATCAAATGGCCGGCGTAACTTGAGCATCAATTTGGACTTGTTGCCTTCGATGTTTGGGCATTCTGAGAGTTTACTTAACATCGCTTCAAGAGTATCGAGTAAATGGATTTACTTTAACGTATAGAAACGTTCTTAATGCAAAGGAAATCCAATTGAAGGTGTATACACTATTGATTGAAGTTCAATTAGATGCTTAATCAACAAGAGATCAATTAACTCAATATACTGCATATACTTAAATGATGTCTGAATAAAAGTATAGATCGATTATTTATCGATTTAACAGTTTACTAGCTTCTTATTATACTTTAATCTGATTCCTTTTATTATCCTAAAACAATATTAATGACTTTGAGACCACATCGTAAACAGTGTAATGTGGTAAAAACGACCCTAATCGATATTCAATCATCTCGATGGCCGGCAATCGATCACCTATCAATTATTTGCTATGTTTCTATATCGTTGCCGCGTCAGGCGGACAAATTGTAGCCCATTGCAACGAATTTTGCGGCTGGGGATCTGCGAAATCCGTCGCCTGGTGACGTTGGCGCACCTGCATGGTCCATATTTCTTACCCCAGAACACACCTTAAACCCTTGCAGTTGTCCACCGTTGAGGTCGTGGGCAGCGAAGCATCGAGGCAGACGGCAGCCCAGTCAGCCAGCCAGTCAGTTAGCCAGCCAGTCAGTCAGCCAGGCTGTCAGCGCACAAATGGCGCCATAAATGTTTTGCCCCTTTTTCCCAATGGAAGGATACATTTGTAACTTATATTGATTTTTAATGCCCGCTTTCTGCTCTGCCAGCCAAGGCGTCGTCGTAGTCGTAGTGGTTGTTGTACTCGGTGCTCGGAACAAGCCACCAAGCCATGAACTTTACGAGGAAGTCATCTACTCAGGCCCAGACTCCCGTGTCCTTCGTTTTTCTACGTCCTGCCTGTACGTCTCAATTTTACCCACTCTGGCTTTTCCTTACGATTCTGCGGGTGGGTGCGAATTTTAATGCTTGTAGCCTGAGAAACAAACAAACATGTCACAGTCGAGAGAACTGGCCGCAAATCCGCCATCTTCTTTGGCGATGCCGTTGCCATCGCTCCACTTGATAACTTAATGCCCCACGCATGCTTCCACATCCACACATCGCCATCCACATATACATCCCCATCCACATTCACATCCACATTGACTCACACACTGGCGTTCTGTGCTTCTCGGCGAGAGTCACACATACACAATTACCCGTACACACGGTCTGACACTCACGCAGACAGACAGATAGATAGACGTAAGGACGTACGGACAGCCATCCGTCCGGACGGACAGCTTTATAAACAAGCAGGCAAACAAGCAACTGAACTCGCCTTGCCGGAATGCCATGCCGCCTATGCATTTGCATATTGGAGATGGTAGCGTGTTTTGAGTCCCGCTTAATGCCCATCTTAGATCGGCAATAAATCAACGGAAATTAATGATCGATAAATTAACGACAACATTATTTTTAAGTAAGATCTCTAACACTTTTTAAGAAGACATATTACGAATAGAGAATGTTCATAAACTGTCATTATAATGATATTTATTCATAGTGTTATATAGTTACTTTCGGTTGTACTTACGGTTAGAGAAGGCGCCTAATGGGCGCGTGAGGAGCGTGCACATCAGTAGGAGGAGCATCACTGGCAGCAATGCTGGCGAACGTCCTTGAAGCACTTGTTTTTGTTTCAGCTGCTGCTCCCGATGATGATAAGCCAGTTGTTGTAGCTGTTGCTTTCGTTGCTGACGGAGGTGAAGGGGTCGCCGAAATCGGGATGGCCAAATGCCATCTTGACTGTTCAACTGCAGCGGCATTTTCAGCATTTTAAGCAGATTGCTTGTCCTGCTGATCGGTCCTTGATTATTGTTTCCCAGATTATCGTTTATCGCTAATAGCTAATCGCTCCTCAAAATTCCCTGCTTATTGGAGTTGCTGCAAATGTTGATAATGCAAAATCATTGATAGGGGAAACCCATTTAATCGGAAATCAAATTGGTGACGTGTTCACATGAAATCGCACTCCAAACGAAATCGAAAATAATACAAACAGGGACTTGAATGTGGTAGAACGTTGAAACTTTATGATGCCCTGTCTAAATTTTTTTAAACAGAACTTACTATTAATCCACAAATTTATCTTTAAACATTTTCCTATCAACAATTTTTAAAATAAAAGCCATACTAACTTGTAAATATCTACAACCTTTTAACTAGATTTACCCTTCCAACTGTTCGTTTCAACATACCCACTTTCGATTTAAAGCGCTGGGTGTAATAAAACAAATCCGTGTACAATTTAAATCAGACAATTGACAGATTTGAGCATTGACAACAACAAAATTGTAAGCACATAATAAATGTTTACACGTTCATTGTATTGTATTTACATGACAAATTTATCTGGCACCATCGACGCGATGGTTTGGGTGTATTATATTGTGGAGAAGTCATTGAGTGGTTGGGAGGTTTATGGCAAAACAAAATGTGGTTTGCTTTGGAGAAATGTGGGTGGTTAATAGGATGGCGCTGCTTGATGGCGGCTGGGAGAATTTCATGGGCCAGCCTGCATTAACAATTTTTGAGTTTTCGCGGCGACGTACTTTTCCTCCATTTTTATGACTTTGCCACACTCCGCGTACATCCTTCAACTTATTTCGGAAAAGTTTTCAACGTGCCAGCATCACAGCGGTGACGTGTAACTCACTTTCAAGCACCCGCTTTTATTCCCCTACCACCAACCCCTTTTTGAAATCTGGGTATATAACGCCGGATTTGTCGAGGCATAAATGGCATTAATCAGTTTGCGGTTTACTTTCCCAAGTCATCCAACTTCTTGGTCGGAAAGTAAAAGTGTCAAAGTGTAACTTTATCGTTTAGCGAAGTTGCATATCGAACTCTGCAAGCTTTTCCAAAGGAATTCGTTTCAAACAAGGTTATAGTTTTAAAGTAATTTGAATAGATACTCGGAGATTGTATATTTTGAAATATTTATAACTATTTTCAGTCAAGTATTAATATTTTTCAACTGTAACCTCTTTGTATTTTTATATTTAAGGGAACTTAGCAACGAAACCACAGCTATGTAGTATGAAAATTCCTAAGAAGAATGAATCTTATAAAGCACTTTATCCCATGAGTAAAAAAGAATAAAAACTTCAACTAAACTTTCGTTATTCGAATTGCATTTTGTAGGAGAATTCCCAGGAAATAGTTTCAATTTCAACAGCTTGCTATTTCTTGAGGATTAAATTCCACAAAAGAATTTCTAACGCCTTGTGTTTTTATTTTTTTTTTTTGTTACTGCACCTTGTTAGCAATTTTCAATTAAATGTCTGTCGATAAAACCGAACTTAGAGAAAATCATACAACGTGTTCTGCTTAAGGGAGTTTCCAAAGAAATAAGAGGATTTCACTAGCAACTGAACTGAACCGAATGACACAGTGCAAATCATGTTATGAAAAATATGAGTAATACGAATTACATATCACAAGGCACTGGCTTATTTGAAGCAAACATAAATTTTACACTTTAATGATTTATGTGCGGACGTATTATGTACGAGTATTCTCTGTGAAATTAAATTGTTTCCATAATATTTCAGACAAGAAGAATTGCCAGAGACAATTTAATTGGCTTGATTTATACTATTGAAAAACCATATTATACTTATGTATGCACAAATTTATGATGCGCAAATAGCAAGGGTAATTAGCATTTCTTGTATTTAATTTAAAATCAGAACTTATGCATATCTGAAGTTTTTATGAATTTGTATGACAACAGAATTGAAATTTGTAATTTAACATTCTAATCATTGCTTTTACTAACATTGAATCGTATCTTATTTATATGGTTAAAAGCATTGAAGCTGACAAATACGCGAAATTAGCTTATGTGAATGAACTTTGGCCAATGAATAGCCAAGGAGCTGAGCTACCCAGACCAAAAATTCCGAAAACCCAAAAACCGTGCCAAGTTTAATCGCCTTGCGGGGGATCTGCGTATTTGCTGTCAAGTCGGGCATGAGTTAAGCAATCCTCGAAGCATTAAGTCTGCCCTGCGGTTGGTTAGACCAAATTGAAAACGAATTAAAATGAAATTTCAAACGCTTTGTGCCAAAAGTTTTAGCCAGCTTTTTCCCAGCAACGCGCGCCACACACCGAAATACTTTGCCAAAGTACTTAAATTCCTCTTTTCTATTTTCATTTTTTTTGTTTTTTTTTATAGCAAAACTTGAAAAGTTCTTTACGAGCATATTCCCAGGTTTGTTTATTATCGTTTTCATTGCATTCTAGCACTAGAGAATGCAATTTCCATTTTGATTGATTTATCAAAAGGAAAAGAGCCAAACTATGCAAAGGGATTTCAAAAATAAACTTTAAAGCTTAAAGTGATCATAGTTTTGATCAGATTATCCGATATTAGTTTTAGTTTTCCCATGGAATATTCCAACTTTTCAGCAAAACAACTTTTAAGTCTTGAAAAGAGTTTTATAACAAAAGTGTTTCCAGCGTAAAAAGTTGTTTAAAAATTTACCACGTCAAAAAAAAGATATATATAAAATATAATATATATTTTAAAGAAATGTGCCATCGTATAAAGATCCAGACGTGCTTTTAATTTTCATTTGCATCGCTGGAGTTTCAGACATTTTACGAGTTTCCCCACTTTGCATTGTTAAGAGCAGGAGTGTCAAATTGACATCAGAAAGTGCTAAAAACATAAATGTTTAACGCAGGTGTTTTTTGCCCCCACCGTCCAGTTGTTTGAAATATGCTTGTAAAGAGAGCATGAGAAAAATTTTCTTTTTTCGTTAGGTGGACGGGGTTCAACATGGCTGATAATGGTGAATTTTATATTGTTATCACGAACTGCACTAAATCATCAATTAAATGATTTTATGATGCCATTTTGGGAATTTCCCCCTTCAGGCAATTTCGACTGTGGCTTCTGCTCTATATCTCTTGCCCTGCCTCCATTTATTTCCTGTCGAATCTGTTTTTTGTGCCTTTCCTTCTACGGTTGAAATTGCCAATAACGAACAGGAGCTTACTATTGGAATGTTAACTACAACTTTTATACAAAATATTATCCTTTGAATGTTTACGACTTAACTTTTATTTCTTAAGCTTTCAAACTATCCAAATAAATTGTGTAACGTTCTAAGTACATTTTATCGCTTATCTAGTAATACGACCAACATAGATTAATTCCAAAATAAAGGTTATATTTAATGTAAAGGGGTAAACTCTAAATTATCTTTTGCCCTACGCCTTACTAACGGACCTAAGTAACCTTTTTCCTGAACTGCTTTTTAGACTTTAAATACATAAATAAATATTCCACTTAGGTAGGTTAGCCCGTAAAATATTTTTTATTGTGGCCAACACCTGCGGCTATTTTGCTCAGGCCAAGATGCTAACGGTAATGGAGAGACTAACGGCAAACGGCAATGTCAGCAGCAGCACCAACAACGCTAACTCGACTTAGCGACGGAAATGCAACACTTTTCTTTTACGCTTCCGTTTTGCAAATTCCCGTTTGTTTTACTAGCTTTTGTTCCTGTTATTTCTTGGCCACTGTTTGAACAACGACGAAAACAACGACAACAACACAGTAAAAAAAAACAAGAAAATAATGTAAAGCGCACAGAGAAACGCAGCAACAGCAACAACAACGCAAAAAAAAAACTGTATATAGAATGGGGGAGCACAAGGAATTACCAACATCAACACAAACACAAACAAAGCGCCCGCCGGATTTATAATGGCAAAGTAAACAAGCTTACGAGTCGCGCGCGACTTTTGTACCGTTAGTGTTGGCTTTTTTGTTTTTGCGCGCGCTTTTTTTTGGCGCGCTTCTAAACTTTCGTTTCGCCAGATAAAATCGCGTTGGATCCACCGTGCAATAGAGATAAGGAGAGTTTCGAGAGCGCGTCCTACGCCAGCCGAACGCAGAATGCAGCAGAAAACACAGCCAACAGCGGCTTTTATACGCTCCCAGCGAGCCGAGTTATTCGTCGTTCTTCGGCTCCAATTTCGGCTCTTGCGAGTGGGTGGCAGAGTTGCGAGTGAATGGGGAGAGAGTGAGAGTGGAAGGATTGGATAGTGAATAAGCAGAGGGCAGAGGGGGGCGGCTTCGGCTCGTTTAGCATATGTCTGCTGCCATCGACATGGGCATCACTGACAAACGTGTGTGTGTGCGCGGATGCACAATAGCGCTCAGGATAATATAGCATAAGTGGCTACCTTAACACATACGCAAAAAACGCAGCTATATATCCATTAAATATTAATTTACATTATTCTCGTATAAGAGACTTATATCGTAAAGAATCTTATTAACATTTCCTATTACTATTATGCTAAAGAATTTATTTAGTTAGCTTTGGCTGTAAGAATTTAAGATAAACAAACTGATTTCTTTTACCTCCAGATATAGTTTTTCTTTTATCAAATTAGGCACTTTTACTAGTTGTTTAGCCTCTGCTGTCTGTGAATGTTTGCATATTTGCTTTATGAATGTGTTTACCAGCAAACTTTGGCGCGGAAAAGAGAGAGTAGACAGGATAGGGACCGAAAGGTGCGTGCGAAAGTGCCAACACTCGCATTAATGACGCCAACAACAACAGCAATAACAAAGGCCACAATTTGAATTGTAAGCCAGCCAACAGCTCAATTAACTATCCCGTCCGGCAGATCGTCCATCTCCGTCCGTTTTTGCCACCATGTTGACTTTCTCATACGCATAATTCCCATTATTTTGGCAATTACAAGGATGTAATGGCAACTGCATATGCTTGATATTATTTAACCCGTAAGTGTGCCATCTCTTTTCGACGCCATGCGAAAGTAAATATCAAAAATGCATTGCAACGCAGGCATTGTCAGAATCTCAATTATTAATTCAACATATGTACAGGTCTTATTCGATTCTTTTACAAAAATGCATTCAAGTGGATTTAATTTACAATAGTAATTTAGAAACCTTAATACTAATAAATATCTATTTTATATACTATATTTGTAGTAGATTCTATTCCGAACTGGATTCCGTTGACCCAATAACTCACAGAAACCATTCAAATAGTTAACATTCAAAATGGCAGTTCATGATGCAATAGTTTTACTGTACTTGTGTGTTTGCCTGCTGTGCATCTGTTTGTTTGCGAGTTCTCTGAGCAACAGCAACATAAAATGAGCAGCAAGTAATTTACATGTAAACAGGTTAAGGGATAAAGTTCATCACGTGTAAGTGGATATGCCTGATTAATGGCAAATATAAACGACATACTGGGACATCTGCATATATATATATATATATATATGTACATATGTGTGCATGTAGTGGTTTACTCCTGGTCCTGTGGTTACTCGCTTTTTGCCTGCCCTTTATTGCATCCGAGTACTCCGGTATTCAAGTGTCACCATAACAATCCGGGATGCATTTATTTATTTACGATTAAATATAAGAGGGACAAATTAAGAGATACTTTCTGGTGTTCAGAACTGATTTGGGAATAGTAAGTAAATTTGTTTTGATTAAAAACAATATAAACTTAGTCACAATCCTTTCTTGATAATGATTTTTAAATAGGAAATAGAAATTAAAATTTAATATATTAATTATAATTGAACAGTTTATATGATGCTATTTACTTACTTTCTCAACTCAATCCACTCAGTTATAGTTTACAATCTTACTTGTAATTGCTTCAACTTTTCACCTCTGATCCCCTGAAAATTGGGAACTTGAATCGAAGTCTCCTTCAAAGATGAACGACTCAAACTTGAACTTACAGTTGGGGGCTATACACATACGGGCCAAATTCGATGCCAAGTTCTGGCTAAGTTGGTAGTTTCATAAGCGACCTCAACCTGAACAGCTCTAACTTGAACTGCTTCCCAGTTGGTTTCCCATGTGAGGCGAGTTGGTAAGATAAGGTAATTGAGATGGATCTGGGCTGGCTGGCTGGCTGGATGGCTGGTTGGCATCGCATCTCGCGGCTTCACGCAACAAACACTCCGCACCTGCCGCACTTTCCCGGATCCGGCTGCATTCCGTCCATCCGGCGAACGTTGTGTGTGTCACCTGGCTGGGGCTCGGGAATAAAAGGAAGGGAAGGGTCCTGACAGACTCCGACATTCCTTCGATGCCTTAAATTGGGTTGGTCCATATGTGTGCACTGGGAAATATAAAATAAATATATTTTATAAAAATAATATAATGATATTTTAGCAGTTCATAATTATCTGCACGTTCATAAAATATTATGAAAAGTATTTGTTCAACAAATAAATGAACAAAGGAATGTTTAAAAAAGAACAAACTAAAATGATATGCGATACTCTTTGGCAAGTGTGCATAGCTGTGCAGTTTGCGTATATTTTGCATGACTGGGATAACTTTTGGGTTCATTGACAATGGTTGCCACCACCCATCAGAAGCCCCCGCATTCCTTGCAGCCTCAAGGATTTTCGGGGAACATGTCTCGCATTTCACTTTCACAACTTGCCAACTGGCAAAGCAAGCAGATATAGATAAAGAATTCATGAATACATCCCGAGAAATGCAGGAGGCAGATATACACATACCATATACCATATATATATATATATGTATATATATCCAGAGACTGGGGAGGACATCGAGGAGTCAGCGAACAATTTGTATTCAAACGATTTGAGAGCTCTCCTGAAAGTAACATCATTAAAAAATTCTCCACCGCCTTGAGTAGCTCGACTCGGTGTTATTCTCAGGACCTTTATTTTCCTTTTTTAATTTACTTTTTTTACTAAACCGGGAAAATCGCACCCTAGAGGCCTCCATCATCATCCGTCCCAAAATGGCGCCCACTTTCATTCCATTCCCGCGAGAGTCATGGGAACTTCATGCAAATGCAATATCTGGTTGCGGGTTGTGGAATACATAGATATATATATATATATATATATATAAGTATGTATGTGGTATGTTACATTCTAACGAAAATTCTGCGTTAATGATCTAGAATTTTACGATTTCTTCCTTTTTGGAAGAAGGAAAAATGGAAACATTTTTTCATTTTTATCTTTGAAAGCAAATTTGTTAAGAATTAGAAAACAAGCTCAACAAGGTATTATATTCGATATTCGGGCCAATATTGGCCAAGTTATTAGCAACAACTTTTTGAGTTTGGAGAAATTTCACATTTTTGATAAGGTTTAGTTGCAGTTTTTTAGCTGTAACTTTGTCAAAACAAGACGCACTGCTAAAACAGTGATTGTTTAATTTAGCTAACTACTAAAACTTGAAACCCCTTGCTTTTATCATTATTGCTCTGATTTTTCGGTGCGAGCTCTGATCAAAAAACTATTATTAACAAAAATTCGCAATATTATTTTCGGATTTTTAGCTCTAGCTCGGTCAAAACAACACGCACAGCCAAAAGAATGACTGTTTTGTGCTGCTAACGACCAATACTAACAACCCCTATCACTCGTTTTTCGATTTTGGGAAAATCAATTTTGGCCCAAATTTCGCATTTTTTATAAGGGGTACCATCATCAAAATTTTCAAAAATGGGCCAAAAATGAAGTTTCCCAGATTTGAATGCAAACCAATTGGGAATCATGGCAATCAAGTTACGAGCTCTACGAGGTATTACATTCCTCATTTGGACCGTTTTTGGCTGTGCTATGGCCAAAATACTGATTTTTTTCCGCCCAAAATCACGTATACTTCGGTTGACAGCAGAGAGCCTCGCCTTCTTGCCGTTTCCTAGCTCTAACTTTGTTAAAACAAGCTAAACACGGCTAAAACAACGACTGTTTTATGAAGCTAACAACCAACACTTTAAGCCGCTTTACTTACTTTTACTATTATGGTTCTGATTCTTTTGGTGCGAGAGCTGATTTACGGCTAAAAAATCAAAAAACCTATTAACAGAAATGTGCAATATTATTTTCGGATTTGTAGCTCTAGCTCGGCCAAATCAAGACGTACAGCCAAAAGAACGACTGTTTTGTGCTGCTAACGACCAATACTAACCACCCCTATCACTCGTTTTTCGATTTTGGGAAAATCAATTTGGGCCCAAATTTCGCATTTTTGATAAGGGGTACCATCATCAAAATTTTCGAAAAATGGTACAAATTTGACATTTCAAACTGTGAATGCAGATTTGCTAACAATTAGAAAACAAGCTCAACGAGGTATTACATGTCATATTTGGACCATTATTAGCTTAGTTATGAGCAAAATATTATCTCTTTGGTGAGAAATAGAGACTAACGAAATTTCGCATTTTGTATATGTGCACAATTCTATATATATTACTTAATATATTTAATTTTAAATATATACAAATTTTGTAAAATACAAAAAAACAAATGGCCAAAGTGCAATAGCTATTTTTGCACAGAATCCCGCATAAACTTCATTGCAGAAATCGAAACAGAAACAGAAACCAATCCAATTCGACCCCAATCCAATCCAATCGAACGCTCGTTACCTCTCCGCTGCTATACCAATTCTGGCTGCAGGCTGTCAATCGAAGTTTACACGGGATATCGATACCTACTTCCCGAGAATCAATTGGTAAGTAGTGGTATGGTATGGCTTGTAATGGGAATGGGGCCATGGGGCACACAGGAACTGGAATCTAGAATCCTGAATCCAATAGAAAGTTTCACCTGCACCACAGGAACAGCAACAGCAGCAGCAGGCAGCAAAAGAGCCGTTGACTGGCAGTTCGGTTAGCTCGGTTCAGAGGGCTCAGAGGTTCACTGGATTCATAGGATTCAGAGGATTCAGCGGCGAGAGGGTCAGGTTGCCACCGCTGCCAGGCAAATAGCTAAAACATTTTTGCCCAGGTAACTTTTTAATTAAAGCTGGCAAGGTACGAAGTGTGGGTGGTAGTGGCGGTGGTGGCGATGTTCTTGTGCAATAAGCTCCTTCTCCATTATCATCATCATCATCATCATCGTAGTCGTCATCTCATCGGGCAACAGTTAACAACAGCTTCCTCGATGGCCACAATAAAATGCTTTTGCAGCAGCAACAACCACAAAACCCCTCTTTGCGGTTTTCATCTCGATTATTAACAGTGGAAGTTGGTTATATAAAAATCAAATTCTATAAGAGGTGGTTAAAAAATTTATCAGTTTTAGGTTTTCTGGTTTGATTTTCAAAGCTTTACTACAACAAAAATACATTGATTACTTCGGCATCTATGGTTGAAATGGAAAAGACTTTATCCGGAAAATATTCAATGCCAAAATTGCAGGAAAAAATGAACACCTTTTTATTCAATACCCACTGTATTCGTCCAGTTGGTTATTGTTATTGGGATTTTTGCATTTTATTCATAAGCTCATAAGATAAGAATCTGGCCGGCCGACTGTGTTGAAACCAATTTCAATTTATACAAATAAAATCAATTTCATTTATGGCTGGGTGCATTCTACCCCCTTTTACTTTTTATGGTTATGCAGCTGCAGTAAGCAATTTTTAATTGAAAATAATAATAAAAAGAAAAAAAGGAAAACGCACAACATATGTTCGAATAAATATTCCCACACATCCATAGCTGATCTCCTCCCACACACTCACTCGACAACAATTCCCAATGTGATCTCCCATACACCGGCTACTTGCTGTCCTTTTCTTTTGCTGCCAAAATGCTGAATTATGAAAAGTCACACAGGCTACCAGGTTTGCCCTACTGCTGCTGCCAGCAAAATAATCAAACTGCACAAACAACTCGACCTCATAAATAGTTAAGAGTCAGAGAGAATACTGAAAAAATAAAAATGTTATTCCTAGTCCCACATCCTGAGGCCTGGAGGCGTCTATGTCCAAAGTACACCCACCTTACTGCTCCACCTCCATCCTTCCCTGCTCCGGTGTGCGTGCGACAACATGTATGTGTCCCCTGTTTGAGTCTGGGATTGCTGGCTTTTCCTGCTACCGTTGTGGGTAGATTAACCAGACTATTGTCACTTTCCTAGAAATACAAAATTTATTATTTGACGCCGCTAAATATAAAAAACAGAATCTAAAAATATCTAAAAAAAATGTATTTCTTAAATTTTGTTGAATTTATTTGTTTTCCAACTGGAATACGGACAACACTGACCATCGCTATGCTCCCTTGGCTATTTTTGTTGTTGTTGTTGTTGTTGATTTATTGTTGCTGTTTTTGTTGTTTGTGCTGCTTCCATTTTTATTGCCCAGTGGCCACATGCGAATGGAGCCCAAGCTTCTTGTTTACACTGTCCAAACTAATTGGATTGGCAGTTTGCAACGCAAGATGGAACCGGCGATATATTGCGTCGTGTTTGGCTTTGAACACTCCACTGGGCTGCGCACGATAACGATAACGAAAAGTCAACGGGAAGCTGGGCACACTGTGACAGCATTTTTGCAGGGATCGAGATCGCTACCGGTTGGTTTTCATCATCCTGATCCTGAGCAGGGGCTATACCTGCAACAAGAATGGATAAAACTAAGTTAAAGTTAATTTTACAAGAGACAATCCTTAAAGTTAAGGACACGTGTAGACGTGTGTGAATAAAACAGGATCCAAAAAAAATAACGATATTAACAAGTCCACTTTAAAGTTGAAGTCAAGTTTTGCTTAGTGGTACAAACTCGTACATATCTACCGACAAATGAAGTGCCAAAAGAAGTTGTAACCTCCTGTGAAGGGACATAAGCTCGGACACAAAAAGAAAGAAAACTTAACTTCGGTTGAACTTCCTTTGAAACTTTACGCCAACACATGTACATATATACAAATATGTTGTAAACGTATTTCCGCAAAGAGGATAAGACAAGTATAAGTTTAAATTTTGAACTTTAATACATATCTGAGGTAAGTTTAAAACTTCAACTTCTGCTTTCCGTTACTCATCTATGCCCCGGAAAAATTCGATTGGAACATATGTTCAAAATGTGTCCTTTGAACTTCACATGTAATTAGTTGATGACTATTGTCTTTCACAGTTTGAGGAAATGTAATCAATATTAATTTGCTGATGATTGTTAGAGAAGCTCACTTAACTTAAAAGAAGACTCTGTTAAACAGGAAACAATATGATTGCAAAGAAGTCAACTAATGAATTGAATCATCTACTTAATTGTTTATAACCTGAAGAATCGTATATTTTTTAATTAAGTGAAAATTGTGTGAAGTTTTTCGGTTAGAGGTCTCAGGCGGCAATTTAGCAAATTAGACCACATGGCAGTGCCCATTTCATTTCTTTTTCTTTTTTCTGCTAACGAGCGACTTTTGGCGGAGTCAGGGGTCGGCCATCCACTTGTTGGGCGCAGGACTTAGTCCCGCCTTTGGTCCTGGTCCGTTGCAGACGTTTTCCGCCGTTGTCCGCGCACATTTCGCTAAACAATAAAAATGCAAAAAGGAAATTGAAAGCCCCGAGATGTAGCAATGGAGCCATAAAGTTTGTGACTTTGGCAAACCATTTTCCGGCTCCTACATGGAGAAAACTTCTAGATTTTCTCATGCAAATGTATTATTGTGATTGTATTGTTTGTAATAAATTGTGTCAATCTAAAAATATATTTAGAGAAAAAGGTGTTTAAGTCGTATGTGATTAAGACTTTAAGTAGTATTTCTATTCTGATTAATGGCATGTAGTATGTGCACTTTTCCCACTGTGTAGAAACGCTGTTGCTACTTTGCTGCTGGCAACTTTGTTGCGAAATGTGCAGCAAGTAAGTGAGGAAAAAATCCCAAGGAGAAAGTTGCAGACCCGGATTGAGTCCTGGGGGCAGTACGTTTCGTTTCGTTTCGTCACAAACATTTCGCAACGTCGCTTCGTTTTAATGGCGACCCGTACCCGGAGTCGCCGCCCTTTTGTTGCTTAATTGGCGGCCGGCCGAGAGTACCGTCTGCACTGCCACAAATTGCCGGGCAAGTTGGCTACGTGCTGCCCCGGATCCGGTCGATCCTGTGCCCTACTCATGTTCCCGCTACTGCTCCTGCTCCGTAGCTGCGCCTGATTGCACAAGTCCGATGGCCAAAGTTGCATATATAAATTTTCGCGCCGTGTTCATCTATCCCACGTCCGTGTGCCATTTGCATTCCGCCATTGTCCTGCGCCAAGTCGTTTGGCCGGGCTGGATTGGATGGAAAGGGATAAGGTTCACTGGGTGGTGGACTGTGCTCAATTGGGTGGACTGGTGGGCGGAGAAGGAGTAGGTCGAGATGCCGGTGTGGTGTGGAGTGGGCGTGTGCTGGTGTTGCTCTACGTGTGTGCCATATAACTTGGCCAACGTCATTGTCATCGTAGTTGTCCATTGTGCACCAAGTGCAGTACGTAATCACAACAGCAGCACCGATGGACAGTGGTGTCCAGGCGACCAGATCTTAAGGATTGGAATTATGTTATGCCAAAGATTTCGACTTTGAACTAAAATTAACAATGACAAATATTAGTAAATGATTGGATAAATTAATAGTTAAATGGAGGATCTTACCACATAATATAATACCAAACATAAGGTTTATGAATTCACTTATAAACATAACAATAAGTTTATAATGATATCCTTTAAAAATAATGAAATTGAGTGCTCGAGCCACAGTGCAGTGACATCAAAAATGACACCAACGAAACAGTGTGGCAAATGTGCAGGGTTGGCTTTTGGTGGCAGTGGTGGCGATGGTGATGGTGATGGTGATGGTGTTGCCTACTTTTGCTGTCGTGGCAGTCGCTCCTACCTTCACCCTTCCCAATTCCAGGACTCAGGGAGGATCTGGGCCGGGTCCAGCCATTGCAGTTATGTCACATGGCTGACTTAATTCATTCATTTAGACGACGCTGACAATTGTAGGTGTCGGGTGCGCGCCCTCTGTCATTTCGTTTTTGTCAACGTCGTCGACGCAGTCCTCCAACGAAGGACGAAGAAGTGTAGAAGGAGGAGGACGAGTCTGGATAATGGTTTGGGGATGGGCCCAAAGATAGCAGGCCCCTCTCCCCACACACACACACAACAATCCATGCCATGCAGAATATGGGTGGTACCGAAGCCAGTGGAGAGCCATTATGGCACCGACATTGTCAATGACTGGCGAATTATTATTGCCTGACGGAGGCAGTTGGACGCCAACTAAGTGTCAGACCCACCAGCTCACCTGCCACGCCCTATTGTTCCCGGATGCCACCGAGTGCATATATGTGTACTCCATCTTGTTATGACAGTTGGCACCAATTTCCGCACACATTGCAGGTGGCCCGTCCGTGTGGCCCAGGGCGTAGCAGAGTTGTAAAGGAGGGACCACCGACCATTTGTCAGCCAGTCAATCAGAAACTGGCGGTCCTCAAACTTATTGCATTACGCGGCGTTGTTCATTTCCTGTTGGCCAAATTGATTGGCTATTGAATATTAAATACGAAATAAGAAAGCTTAAGAAATTCGTTAAATTTAAATTTCATTTAAAGATATTTACAGATTCCCTCTGAACTAAATCTTCATTCAAAGGTCTAACGGTATTTAGAAGAATAGCGGTCTATAGCAGAGTTGCATTGGGACGCAGAGTTGCCAGATGTACATATGTAACTTAAACAACAAATTCAAAATGTAGTGGGTTAAGCCAAATACAGCATTTAAAATTAGCTTCTTATAGGAGTTTTTAAATTATTTTGAAAACTTTACACCCCTCTTCCCGCCTAACAACACATAAAATTCATGAAAATGCAAAAGAGTCTTGTATATATGTATATATTTCATATGTATCATACAAAATTTCCATTTTAAGATTTAGCAACTAAATTGGGTTGAGTTTTTTGTTTCGATTTGAAGTGCACAAATTAAAAAAAAAAGATCACTAATTAATTAATTAAGAAATTGACGCAAATAAATAACAAAAAACTAATTCAATATATGCATATTTTAGATATAGTGGAGTTAAGTCCATTGCAAAATCGCCGTACGGAGAGATTTGATGTTTAATTTTTGACTTTGTTTTTTTCGTTTTTATTACAGATTAATTTTTTAAGGTTTGCTTAGAGACTACATTTTCTTTTTGTTTTGCATATTAAAATTGCTTGCTTGAGTGTGTGTTGCGTGTATGGGTAAATGTGTGTGTGTGTGTGTTTGTGTGAGCGTGTAAGACCGTGTGTATATGTTTGTGTGTGTCCATGTGTTATCGTTCATATCAATATGTATATATAAATATATAAATAAATTTATAGGAATATGTGTTGATTTATTTTTATTTTTTTCATTCATTTATGTTTTTTCTTGCTCTTATTTCCCTTTTTTTCTTTTTTTTTTTTAAGCTTTACGAATCGAATATGTATATATAGGTGTATATATGATGTGCTTGTATAACCATTATGTCTTTCATCATTTTTGCTGGCCTAGTTGCTGATATATATATATTTGATAAAACGGAAGGACTCGCGACAGAAGTTTCGTCTTGTTGTTGTCTACTCTAAAAAATGTGTTGTTCATGTTTTGTAGATATTCTCATCGTATAAAACGTATAAAAAGCTAAATAGGTTGTTTTAAAAAAAATCTCTCTTTCTATGTATACGTAGATCTTTATATATAAATATATAATTTTTTTCTTCATTTTTCATTCACTCTCATCTCCTTGGGTCTATCAACGTTTTTACCTTCGTTTTCTCTTTTCTTCGTTCATTTTGCAATTGCTGTTTAGGATATCAAATTCTTGTGCGACTTTTATCAGCGCTTCAGCTGCGCGGATCGATAATTAGTGGATCCCCGCTTGGATGGGAAGTGTGTGATTGTGATACTGATGACGCGTGCAGCAGCCCGCCCTAAAACTCCCACTGGGTGGCCGAATCGGTGCCATCGTCCAGCAGCTTGAAAGCCCCGTTCTTGGTAGCGCCCAGATACTTGCCCTGCTGCGATCTGAAATATATAAAATCAGCATTAGTTATCAATTGTTATGAAAAATGACAGGCAACGGTATTCGGAATAAAAGCTCAGAAGTTTCATAACTTTATATTTTGAAAATGTTTAAAAAGCCTGAATCAAATCAAAGAAAAACAGGAACTTTGCAACAACATGAATTCTAAGTAGCATCTCTCTGACTAACATTTATAAAACATTTATACAAGAGCCCTAATTATAAATAAACTTCCATTTGCTGTTATTCCGATTAAATCACCAAACGTGAGTCCAACCTTATGCAGATCCTGGTCGGCTCACGAAGCTCTAGGAAGAATCCATCGCTGGGCGCATCGGCGTCCACCGAAATGCTTTCGCCCTCTATGCGCCAGTACTTGCCACTGTGCGCCTTTAAATGCACCAGACCCTTCTGGGCACGCTCCACCAGGATGGTCTCATAGGTGGCCTTGTTGCACTCCAGCTTTAGGTTGCCGGGCGTGCGATAGCCCACGAATCCCTGCTCGCACTTCAGTACAAGAATTGGTCTACAAAAAAATAATTATCCAATCAATACAAATAATATTGAGTACCATAACCGAATGCCTTACCTATTTATTAAGTAGAAATAGAACTTAGCTATCTCCTCGATGGACTCCGAGGTGGCGAAAAGATGCCCAGACCGCTTAGTAGCCAAAAACTTTCCGTTGTTAGCCCGGAACGAGAGCGAGCCGTCACCGTGCCAAATAAGCTCGAAGAGGGCATCAGCACAGCGCCGATTCCCGGTGGCCTGGATGCCACCGCCCCCCGACAGGCACCAGTAGCGATCTTGGGTGGTGCGCAGAGCCCAGCGGTGTGCCGACCAGTCGTACTCCAGCTGGAACGTCTCATTCTCGCCGACCTCATCCTGGTTGGCCGTTACATCGACGCCCTGCTTAACGCTCACATATCGCAAATTAAGTCCGGCAATAAAAGAAGCCTGCGGCAGTGAGTCCTCCAGGGAGAAAAGCTCATCACGCGTAACCGACGACGAACGGGACTTAAGTACCGCCTTGGAGCCAATGGGCGACAAGTATTGACCCTGACGATCGCGTAGTGCCAGATGACCGCCATGATATTCGGCGCTAAACAGGCAATCCTCATTGCAAACAACCTGCAGTTTTCCATTGGCGTTCAGATATCTGTGTTGGACAAAGAAAATATGTTAGATCGATTGTACTTGAAGAAAAATAAATGGTTGTAAGCGATACAGCAGCATACTTATGCTGCACAAATGAACAACCATCTATGGAATTACTTTTACAACTTACTTGTTGTTGCACGTGTGCAGGGCATAACGACCGCCTTCTTCGGCACGGAACTCCAACGTAAAGAGCGTATCCTCGCCCCACGGAATGTTGGCGTCGACGTGGATCTCATCCTGCGACTCCGATAGATGGGCAAAACGCTTGCGCCCAATCGAACGCAGATTCACCTGCGGCCGGGCAGCCAAATGGACAGTCCAGAACTCACTAGCGCCGGGCGTCTTGGCTGTGCAGACCAGTTTGTCCGGAGTCCCGCCAAGGAAGTAGCCGCGCGACTCGTTCTTCAGCGCCCAACGACCGCTGCCGTCCTCACTGATGCTGATCTGGAAGCGGCTGCCCGCATCCCGCTCCTCGCTCTCGCACAGCACGTTGCCAAACTGATCGACCGAAAGGTACTTGTTCAGATGAGATCGTAAGTAGATAATACCTGGAACGAGTTGGGCGATGAAACGGATTAGATTAAAGCTTTTTAAAAGTAGAATTTTTGAATGAGACCATTGCAAATTGCAGATTTAATTAAATATAAATTAAATGAAATTATAAAATATTTTGTAATTAAAGAGATATATTCAAATGAAGAAGACTATCTAAGCTCAAAAACGTCTAAACAAAGACTAGAAATACCACCTGCTGACTAGACCAGCGCGCACTGTCGTCGATGCCATTTGGGCTATCGATAGCAGGCCATTTCGATTTGGCTCGCTTTCCAAACATTTTGAATGCTATCATCTATTAAGCCATTTGCTCAATCCATCCATTTATCCACCATGACCAGTAATAATAAAGCATGGGAGCATGGAGCAAGCCAATCCAGGAGCTGGGCAGCAAGGCCAGGCCAGGCCAGGCGAAGCAAGAAATTTTCAATTTGGATGAGCTATTTTAATGGCCACAACGAATGCCGGCTGACTTATGGCTTTGGTATTATAGAAAATGTTTATTAATTGCCAGTGGCAACGACCGGAGAGGCGGTGAATAAAAAAAAAAAAAATAATAATAAAAACAACAAAATACGAAAAAACCAGTTGCTTGGCTTTAATTGTAATTGCTGGCCACGGACACAACGGACTGCAAGTCCAAGTGCAAGTCAGACTCCAAAGCCCCAGCCCCAGCCCCAGCTCCAATTCCAATTCCAATTCCGATGCAGCCGCAGCTTGATAAATGATGCCAAATTCGTGAGGCGCTTTGTTTTCTACTCTCCAGTACGTCAAATTAGTGCGCAACTTGGTCTCCCCAAATGATTTATGTTGTAAATAAGAGAAGAAGAAGAAGAAGAAGAAAGCACAACTAACTGGCCAAGATGATAGTGATTACGGTTGGCAAATGGTTTCGACTCTGCCACTTAAGGCCCAGAGTTGGGGGGCTGCTAACTGGTTCCAAATATTAACCGCTCCCCAAAATGAATAAAACAAAAAAAAAATCACTTGCAGTCGTTGGATTAACATGCTTATCGGTATCTGCAGATAACGGGCACATGGATATTGTTTGCCATTTAAATGTTAAGGTGCGCCATCGATTAGCCAGAAAACCGTGTGGAAAGTCACAGATGTGGTTAGCAAAATAACAAGGGTCAAAAATATACATTTTGCAGTAAAAAAAATCCTATTTACTATTATGTATACTCACTTTCACCGGTGTTCGAGGGTTCCAGTGTCCACAGCTGCTTCTTCTTCAGACTGGCGCCATTGGCATTGAGCTTGAACCCGAAGGTCTCGGCGGTCATGTACTTGTGCTGGCCATTGATCAGGCCGATGGTCCACCATCCCTTCTGTTGGTTCTGTGAGATGATGTCGCCGTTGCTGTGGCCCAGCTCGCAGCCTTGGCCGTTCATGGTGCTGATGGGAGCAATCTTGGGGCTGTTTCCGGATTCCGGCTTCGTTTCAGAGAAAGAACAATTTTATGGCTGCAAAGGAAGAGTGAAAAAAGACGATGAGTTGCGGATGATTACAGGAGCGTAGTTTACAGTATAAGCATAATCTGAATAAAGTCTTAAACAATAAAGTGAACAATATGAGATGGCCTCTTATAAGCGAAATATTTATGGCAAATTTATTGATTTGAATTTGAAAAAATTTGTTTTTTTATAATTAATTTAATTTTTTATATAGAATTGAACTGATATACTAAAATGTACCCTTGTTAACTTATTATTGATAACGATTTTGCAAGACATGCCCCTCTTGTAACGCCCCTGGGTGAAAACATTGATTATTCCTTTAATTATGTAAAACTATCCGCTTGATTGATGAACACTTTGTCGAGGGGCGTGCAGAGAGATGGGCGACTGGGTGCAAGATTTATGGGTCGTCTCGTCGGGTCTACGACTACCACCACAACTGGGCTGTCAAACAGGGTCTCCACTGTCTTCACTGTCTGCCATGTGTGCTGCATGCATGCTGAATAGCAGGGGGTTCTGGGACGGGGTAGAGGAGATGTGGAGTTCTTCAGACTGAGGCATCTCGATTCGACTGCCTGGCATTGCCATTCTCATCTCAACAGGAAATGCAGATAACATTTGCATTACATGGCGACACATGTCGCTGATCCACAACTTCAACTTCTTACCCTGCAATATGTTTTTCTCTTTTCGACTTTTCCTTATTCAAGTCAGTTCCAATAAATTCAAACTCAACAGGCAGCAGTCAGCTGTCACAGCTTCGATGACACTTCTATCGTGCCATCGATAAAATTACATTTGATTCGTCGTCGTCCTAGCAGGTGTGTGTTTGGCACACTCGAAAACTGGTATGCACACACACCTACTGGGAATAGCAGGCAGCACACGCGAAGAATCCAATTAATAAATCTAGAGCAGAGAGACTAATCCTAAGCAATCAATTACCGGTTCGAATTAATCAGCTTTTAATGAACAAAACACCAGCTGAAAGATACAGTGAAAAGGTTGAAAAATTGACTGTTTTTGGCACCCATTAAGATGTTTCAAGATCGATTGAAAGTACTACAAATATTCACATTTTCATTGCACTGATAAAAAAATATGATAAGAAATGATACTCGTTTACGATGAAATTTCATCAATGATATGATATTTATATGGGCAGTATCTCCTTGACATGATTAAAAATGAAAGAAAGCGGTATCAAGATTTATTTTTTCGACTTGAAAGAACTTTTTGTAGCGGGAGATATCGAATTCACATATTCAATGATTTTGTAAATATTTTAGCACTTTTTATCTTTGTAAGAAATTGGTTCCTTTCCAATTGAATTATTTAAACGTAATAAAAACTTTTCTGAAAACCGTTTCTGCCACCGTTAGCCACTGATAACCAAGTGTTTCAAGTATTTACCAGCTGCAGCCACATTAAGGCCATTAGCAATTGCTGCAACAACAAAGAAAAAACGGCTGTGGCAAAAGATAAATAAGCCGCGAGTCATAAACATAAACACAGAATCAAGAACAAGAACAACTCATTAGCGTGACGCGTGCCTGCTAATCAGAGCTTATGAATCGCCGTTCCCGGATGAGTCAACAACTCCACACGGCCGACAATAAAAAAAAGCCACAGCCAGTAACGCTAAACATAAATTAAGAACATCAAGAAAAAACTATAAAAAAAAAGAATAAAATAAATAAAAAAAATATGACGAGGCACAGACAATAAAAAAAAAGAGTGGCAAAGAAAAACAGTCAAGGGGGCACACACAACAATAATCATAATAAATAAGCAGGGGAACTGAAACAGCAACAGAAACAGTTGATGCCACAAAAGGTGTGTGTTGGTGGAAATGAGGAGAAGGAAAAAACGAGGGGGATGGGGGGGGGCAGTTGGATTTTGCATTCTAATTTCTCAAAAAGGCAAACACAAAGGGGCGATAAAAAGGAGTTGAAGACAAAAGCGTGACAGCGACTCCTACATTTCCCTGTTTTTCTTTTGTTATTTTTACATTTTTCTAGGCGTTGGCTCCTGGACAGAGAAAAAAAAAATGGAAAACAAAAAATTGCCTAGAGGACGATGGCCTGGGCGTTGGCTTAAAAGCAAATCGCAGATGGAAGATTATCATCAAATGAAATGCAAACGAAAATGAAAATACAAATAAAAACGAAAAACGAATGGCCAAAAACGACAATTGGGAAGGAAAAAATAAGATCATCTTGAAACTAAGAGCCAACAACCATAAAACATTAGTCATGAAAAACTGTCATTAGGCTTAAATAATTATAAATAATAAAAGTAATTAGAATCATTTAGATTCTCATTAGGCGAAGTTTTTAAGATTTTATTGCAATAGTTGAAATGATATTATAATTATTTATTCTGCTTTAATAGGTTTTTAAAGGAGATATTTAATAATTATCTAATCATAATCACAATTATTTCTTTGTTCAAAAATATGGTTAATAGTTTTCTGCGTGTGCAATTCGCAAGTTTTGGCTATCTCTGGGTTTTTTTTTCCAACTTTTTGCTGAAGTCAACGCTCGCTATATGGATGCCTCGTCAGCTTAAAGCTCTTCAAATTGTACACCTCTCACCTTTCCCCGCTGTTTTGGCCAACTGCTTCTTAACGTCTTTCGACATTTATTTTCAGGTTAAATGCAATTCGATAGGCGAAAATGTTTGAACAATTTCGCTGGAAAATTAATTATTGCCATTTGCAAGACGATTTCCACACACTTGAGCAGTGCAAATCATAATTAAATATGCAAACGAGTCGGGGGGTTTTTCTTTTTTCATGCTTTGGCTTTTTGGTCAGTCTCTTATACAGAGGTCAGAAGACTGAAGATTTCCCGGCAAAGATACACAGAGACGTCCTCAAGCAATTAGACAAAGCAATGTTGGACGGGCAAACACAAACAGTTAGGCACAACCGTTGCAGCAGCAGCCAACTTGCAATAGCAACATCATCAACTGCAACACCATCCTCATCATCATTACCATTATCATCATTATCGGAAGGCCTTGGAGGCACAAGCAGCGCCAATTACTGCAAATGGAGTGCCGGGCATCGCCAAGCGGAACAAATGCAGCCACACTGCCTCCACATCCACATACACATTCATGCCATCATCTACCCAAACATCCATATCCATGTTCGTGTCCATCTCTCGATGGCAAAAGGCCCAGAAGCTGTTGCCAAGTGGCTCTGATACGGCCTTTGTCTGCTTTTAACTACGCTGTTTTTCAAAGAGAATCTATTAACGTGGAGCGAGGAAAATATGCTGTGGGTTTATTTTAAAAATGAATAAAATAAACAGAAATTAATATTCTTTAAGTATGTAAGAAAACGATATATTCAAGCTCTGCATTTAATCCGCAACAAATTTCAAGCCAAGTTTTGTATTTCTTAAATAAATATCTATTTTCTTTTTTCAGATAATGAAGCTGATTTTGGTATGATGGCTAAGCCAGTTCTAGGCTATAATAATTGCAGGAGAGTATAAAATTTAAAAAAAGAAACCAAGGGTTTTCACAGGGTATTACGACGTTTGTTATTCGTCGACAAGCTTCTTCTTCTTCTCCTTTTTGACTGCTGATTATTATTCTGTTGCTGCTTCCACTTTTTCTTCTTGTTGCTCTGCTCTGCTGGCAAATCAATTAAATTACACTATCAATATCGGCGATTGAATGTTTCCCATGTGCGAGTGTGTGTTTGTCTGTGCGAATTTCAGCTGCAAAAGTATCTGTATCTGTACCTTTTATCTTTCCCTTGATGTGTATGTGTGTGTTTGTGGAGTTATTAAAACGCAATCTAATTAAATGAAATTGCACACGCACACTATGATGGAGTGTATATTTGTGCTCTGTTTTTTTTTTTTTGTATGTGATGTGTGCTTTTAGCAAATTACGAAAATGTAAAATATGATGGAAGCTTTATCGCATCCAGCGCACCTTTCACCAATTGACGTGTTGCTCTGCCTGGCTCTCCACCTCCTCTTGCTTTCTTCTCTGTCCGTTCCTCCTATCCCCTACTTTTTTTTTTTACCGCCTAACCTGCTTACATTTTGCGTGTGTTTCGCTCTCATGCGTGCTCTGCTTGCTTTGCTGTCGGCGTCGCTGCTTCTGTATTGGCTGGTTAATGATAACGGTAAAGCTAGCTAGCTGATAAACGCAGTCGCATTTAAACAATGCGAACAGATCCGAGATCTTGAGAATCCGAGCGCCTCATAGTCAGACTTTCCAGTGCAGCTGTTGCCACTTCATCTTCATCTTAGTCTCTAGCTCTTCTTCTTATTCTTCTTCGCATGCGAGGAACACAGTAAACACTCAAAATCTAAACCAATACAGTAAACATATTTGCAATAATCCTCATTTCTAATACAAAAATCTTTCTTTTTATTTACATATGAGTGTAAAATTCTAGAGGAAGTGAAATGCTATAAAACGACCTTCACTAGTCTTTTGATAGTTTGGATTTTTACATAGATCCTTTTCTGGATGTACGTAAATTATATAAATACCCTTGCCATCGAAACCTACTAAAATATAATAAGCTTGACATGAGCTCTCACGTGCACTATTTATTTTATTGTCGTAAACTTAAGACCATCACAAATGTGTTGCATAATAGCTAATGAGCTTTTCATTAACGAACTTCCACTGTGGTTGGCGAATTTCCATGCATTATTTCTTTTTTTTGCCCCGAATTAAAGACCTGACATGGCATTCGGTAATTTTTCTCATAAGCGCAATAAATCAGTGACAAAAGACCCAGACATCGATTGTGCGATTGTATATTTTCTTTCTTTCTTAAGCTGGCTGGCTTGTTGGCTCTTTTATAACATTTTATAAACAGCCTTAAATGAGACGGCGAAATGAGTCAGATGGGGGGTTGGTGGGAGAAGAAATATGTTGCAGCATACGGTATATTTTACTGTAATGCAACAGCAAGTGGAGCAACATTGGCGTTCTAAAAATACAAACACAACCAAAGATCATCTACG